TTCTTTACTTTTAAACTTTCTATTTGAAAATAAAAAAAATAGTGAAAGAAAAGAGACGACTACAATTCGCCATTTGCACATCACTTAATCGAGATTAAAACCATGGAAATTCAAAAGGAACTGAAAATGTTTAAGATCGTTATAATGTTTAAAATAACCAAATAGATCTTTATGTTTAGTTTTTTACTAACAAATACCAAATAATTCCCTATAAAATACACTATAATTTGATCATTATGATATCAAATAATTATAAAATATATATTTGAAATGATAAAAATTGGACTAATTGTGTTGGTCGAGGTTGAACCATTGAATAACTTTAAAATACATTATATTTTAGCCACTAAGATATAAAATAATAGCATAATAGAAAATAGCTTGTTTTAGAATGACAAACCAATGATGTTCATTTGTTTTACTTGATGGCCAAAACCCATGTAGGTCAGGCTCATTCAACTCTTTTATTTTATGGTTAGCGGTTAGCCCATTAGATACCATGCATTAGTTTATTGTTAAATTTTTTATTTTTAACAATAAAAAGGAGTATTAGTTTTTCCTTTTCATATATATTTTATCACCACGAAGAAATAAAAGGGTTTAAAGAAAAAAAATTGACACTCCTAGACCCGTTTAAATTCGCATGTGTACGGTAAGTTGGCCCGTTCCACAGAGGAAAGAGAAAAAAATTGACACTTCTTATTCTACCCTTCCTACAAACACTCATGGAGCAGGGAATTTGAAATGGGGGAAGGGTTTTTTCCTCCCTGCTATTATATGTTTTTAATTTAAAAAGATACAACAAATGTGCTTAGTGTGATTGGTTATTATCCTTGCTTTTCTTTAAAATGGTCATGGTTCGAATCCCAACACGTGTCTTTTTAATGAATAAAAAAAGTAATTGTGAAGACCAAAATGTCCTTCCTACTTTCACTCTCGTTGCAGGAAATTTGAAATGGAGCTCCCGTTTTTCCCTTCGGCGTATTATATTATGTGTAGATTCTGTTAGAATTACTGCCAAGTCACGTTGCATTAGTTATTTCTACTTGTAGAATTGGAGTTTATCGTCTTTTCAAATGACATTTCTCTCGTTGTTGCAAAAAGAATTTTTATTTTATTTTTTACCTTCTTAAAGTGAAGTTACAACGTTACGGAAAAAAAATATTGGAATATCTTCCTAAGAGATTCTCAACCAAATTGTATTGGTTCGATTCTGATATACATCTCAATCACTCAAATTATCACGGAACATAATTAGGTTCGTAAGACTTATCGAAATAAATTTGGTAGTTATAGTTATAGATTCAATCAAAATTCTAATCATGTTGGTTATTAATTAATGGCAAAATACAACTGTATATCCACAATTATCAGGTTTGTGACAAATATATCCACAACTATCGAAATACACGAAATATCCAAAAATCGGAAGGTTGTGTGATAAATCTATCCACTTCCATTTGAAACTATAACGGCGTGTCAAACGGCGTTAAATTGACTAACGGAATGCTGAATCGATGCCAGCTCACCTGACACATAAGCCAAAAAGCAACCAAACTTTACATGTAGATGCCAAATAGGCTAGTTGAATAAAGGCAAAATACAGCTGTATATCCACAACTATCAGGTTTGTGACAAATATATCCACCACTATCAGATTTGTGACAAATATATCCACAACTATCGAAATACACGAAATATCCATTTTTCGTCCACTCCGTTAACTCCGTCAGTTAACTTGATGACTGGACAAACGGTGGATGCTTAGTTGACGTGTTTCTGACGCCACTGAATGATGTGGATTAAAAGAGAAAAAAAAAAATTAAAAACCACAGACAACGAGACTAAAAATTCAACCTAGAAACACGCCCGATAACCACTGATTTCCTCCGATCGACGCCTCCACCCCAAATAACCCTATCCCAAGCCCAGATTTTGATTCCAACCACAATCCCCAACCATTGCATCCCTTTTACTCCGACGGCTTCCATGCAGTCGGTGCCATGGTGATACCAAGTTTGAATCTAACCCAATCGCCAACAGAGAAGACTACAGCATCGAGGTCTAACAGATAACGGTGTAAAGTTTGGTTGCTTTTTGGCTTATGGCAGCCTGGCAGGTGAAGATGACATCGATTCAGCATTTTGTTAGTCAATTTAACGTCGCCTGACATGCCGTTATAGTTTCAGACGAAAGTGGATAGATTTGTTACACAACCTTCCGATTTTTTTATATTTTGTGTATTTGGATGGTCGTGGATATATTTGTCACAAACCTGATAGTTGCGGATATACAACTGTATTTTGCCTATTTTTTTCTCTTTTAATCCACGTCATTTAGTGGGGCCAGAAGCATGCCAACTAAAAATCCACCGTCTGTCCAGTCATCAAGTTAACTGACGGAATTAACGGAGTGGACGGAAATGGATATTTCGTGTATTTCGATAATTATGGATATATTTATCACAAACCTGATAGTTGTGGATATACAGCTGTATTTTGCCTTAATTAATTAGAGTGGGTAGTCAGCATGATCGAGTTATCTCTTAGATCGAATTAAATTACACGGTTGATCATTGTCGTTATACCAAATACCATTCATAAAGTTGACAACTTTCACCATACCCCATCATTATTCTTCCAATAAACTCTCTAAAACAAAGAGTTTATCCCACCAAACTTCTAATACTTTTGAGGCTTTTTTACACACCAAGTAATGGTTGTCAAGCAATGCTCACAAGTGGTGATGGCCATTTGACCCTTTCCATTTTCAAGCATACTAGGAGGCGATGCCGCGCCTTGTCGCGGGGTGGAGATGACCTATTAGCATGTATTATGTTGCCCGTTATGGTGTTTTGTTAGTATTATTAGTCGTCTAAACCTAATTTTTTTAGCAAGTTTGTTAGTAATATTGACTTGATAATATGATCTTGACTGAGAATATATATATAGCGATGAACATCCAATTTTATAAAATTTGGCTAGTAAATGATATATACCTAAACTCAAGTGACCCATTGATTATGGGTAGGGTATGGGAGACATATATGTGGGTTTGGAAGTTTGTAGAAGGGTTTGGGTAGGGTATGAATATTTACTTCCATAATCTAAATATGTATGAGTTGGGTATGGATATCCATGGATTCAAGTGAAATCTAACATTGGACCAATATGTAAATTTAAAAAATTGTAGGTACGAAAATCTTATAAAATGTAGATACCAAAATATAATTGTTTAATGAATTTACATTAAAATTAAATTTGAGGTATCAAAATGCAAAATGTACATTATAGTGATTAAGTTGTGATTTAATTAAATTTGGGATATCAAAAAATAAATTTTTATGCAACAGTAAACTTACTTCAGCTTTATAAATTTTGATTTTCAGAAACTTCATCGTCATGATAAGTGATATATAAACCTGTGGCACGGATAATTCTTGCAAAATGCAATACTTCACCATGAACGTTTAGGCCTCGTTTGGAACCTTCGATTCTAAACATTGTATTATTAGTATACATATATTCTGCAGAATACATTGTTTTTTTATTTGTTTTAATCATAGAATGCATGATGCATTCATAATACATAGAAAATGATGTATACTTTGGGCATGTTTGGAAGTTAGAATTCTCTAAATTGATGTATTTAATCAATGTATATGTATTATACTTAGATGCCTTGTTTTGGTCCAGACTGGCTCACACACTTCACGCGAATTATTAGACCTAACTCACACACAATACACATTCTTTCACCGATCCACCTCATTATTGTTATTCATATCCGCGAAAAATTCTCGTGACTTAACTTATCATCGAAAATATCCTTTTAAATTAGACGGTGGAAAGTGGTGGGTGTGTACCAGACCAGCTCAACCAAAAATGGTGTTCATTTAAGAGAATTGGTCCAGAGCTTGGAAAGAGTCGTCCTGTACATCTCTTTCACTCTTTTAATCCTCTTCCACTATTTCCCCAAAGATGGATTGGCCAGCAATGCAAATTATAACGCCCCAGTTGGCGAGTGTAGTAGTCATTTTCATTGGTAACATTTCACATCAGTAGAGAACTGGAAACAGCTCGATTTTTTCTTGCAATGGAGAGACCATCTACACCAATTCCATGTGGGGGATCTATATATAGGATTGACATGAACAGCTCTTTGATTATGGAATACTATAAACCACAACTGCCAGCAAAGTAACTCCAATTAAATGGGATCTCAATGTTCATCGAGGAATCGATCGTCGAAATTTGACAAATGACATACTTGTCTGACATTTGAAGTACTAAACAAAGACAGTTGCGTTGTTCATCATCGTCACTTAAACGACTTACTCAACATAAATAATTCAAGACAAACCGCTCAACGGTCCAAGTGGGTCGGGTGATTTGGGTTTATTCCGTTCTAATCAACTACCTATATTACTCGGTTTTGAACCCAAATACGGACCCTCTCGGTTTTGTGGATAGAGTCAATTCGGGTAGAGAGTTCATCGGGTGAGAAACCATACAGCCACAATATACTTCTTTGATTTTTCCAAAATAGAACATACTTCTCTGTGTCTGTTTATTTTATCTTTGTTTTTGCAGTATAAATTCTAACAGAAGTACCAACATTTACAGTAATCATCCAGAATATTTATGTCACTGATTATATATTGTTAATTGGATAGCTTTCGTTTCTCTTCCAGTTAACTATGGATGAGCATAAAAGGAGAAATTTTTGGGGAAAAGGTTATGAAAAGCTTCAGTTTCTTCTGATGAAATTACCACTTTACTACATTTAAGGCAGTGAAGAAAACCAGAGCTCTTGTTTGGGACACATAATATGGAACCTTCCACATAAATATAGCATACAAAAATCAAGCATTGAGGAGGAACAAAAAGCAACCATGGTAGCGTGGAAGAAGAACAAAGTAATTTTTTACCTCGATGGACACCCGCTCGAGCTATTCTACATTTTGCTTGGACAAGTTCAGGTTTAATACAGTACACAGATCAAGAAGAGGCTGCTGGCTCAGGCTCAGATGCCTCTGCTGCTGCAGCAGCTCTTTTCTTTGCAAAGTATTCATCAGCTCTAGCAAGGTTCTTTAGAACTGCTGGCTTCAGCCACTTCTTCCTGCCAGGTAACACGGTGAGCGAGCAGCCAACAGATTCCAGCTTCTCCCTCGCTGATGTTGAAAATGCACGAGCTTTGAAGTTCAGCTTCACGTCTAGCTCCCCATCACCTAGGATCTAAATCCCATAAATTGAGAAGTGAGTGATAAACCAACAACCAAAGCATCTTAGGAACGATTGATCTAATAGCATAAAAATGTAGCTACATGAAGAGACATGCAGTTAATATTCAAACAAAACAAGACATTATGCTTGAAAGCTTTGGAACGACTATTACAACCACAATAGAAGTTGCGGAGCAGAAGTGCAGTGCTCTGAGAGTGGTCTAGCAGGTTCTTTATACCAATGTCTGATAGTGTAGAAGAATTGAAGCTACAAAAATGACACCTACTTAGCCACCCACCAGAAGCGACTTCTAGTAGCATATGAGATCAAAGATGCACAACAGCCAAGTCAATCTACATGCACCATCATAGGAGTCTCAATCCAACACTAACTAACACTTGATGCATGTTCGCAGCTAGTATGATGCATAACTAATGCATGATAGTGAGCCTATGATGTAACCTGCAGCACTATAATAACAAAGTTTTTTTTTTATAATGGTGAGAATCTATAATAACAAAGTTGACGCCAAGCTCCTCTCACTACAACACTTGTCAGGTTTATGACTGACGCTGCCAAATTACAAGTTCCTAAAATCATCGTTAAATATAGTTCAAGTATCATGTAAAATGATTCACTCTAAGATTTTAATATCATCGTTACTGCATGATTTCAGTTCAATGAATTTATCAGAGCTTGCAGATACCAGACTTTTGTCATGTGAGTCACTTTGCCTAGTAGGGACAATAGACTCTATGCAAGCTATAAGCGGCCCATATGAACAAGCAGAACCAATGAAACTAGTATCAGTGACAGTTGTAAGCATGAATGTATCACTCAAAAGGTCATACCTTCAGAGGAAGTCTCCTTTCTCTTCCTGATGGGTTGATTAAGCCCTTCTCCTTCAAACTCTCCAGTGAAACCTCCTCGCCCTCTTGAAAACCTGCTTCTGCTATGTCCTTTAAGTTGACCGGGACATATTTAGGTAAACCAGCATGCATACCTTCCCCAAAAACAAAAGAGAAGTGAGTCATGACAATTTCTGTAAGTTCACAAGTGGAAGCCCAAAATGCAGAAAACCAAAACAAAACAACATTGACAAACTAGTCCTAGAGACAACACGAAGCAGCTAGTAATTGGCAAAACAGCAACGCACGAAAGCGTTCTATTCCGCAAACTGCAACCGAGCAGTCAGTAACCCACGAGTCGAGATCTCATCAAGCTTCTTACCCATTTGTAATCTAAGTTGTCAAGCTACTGGAACATTAAGCATTATGAACCGAAGGTCATATCACCTCATATGAGATTGAATGGTGAAAAGGCTCAGAGCTCTAATCCTTTCATTTCAGCCATCTAAATTTCAATAATGTTCTCCAACAGCGCAATTGAATTATCAGCATAAATGCCCTAAAAACCCTAGCTAATAGCATCAATTATTCGACTAAAAATCAAGGAATCCTCAAGTATTATTACCTCCAGCAATTCCCCGCAATTTAGGGATACGGCGATAGAGAGGCATCTGCCCACCTTCGAATCCTCTCATCACACCAGGACCCGACCGGGATTTCTGTCCCCTCATTCCAAACCCACAGCTGTTACCTTGCCCGGCGGCGATACCTCTTCCCTTTCTCTTGGCTTTCTTCCTGGAACCTGGCTGCGGCGCCAAATTGTCCAGCCTGAACCGCTCGCCAGGCACCGGAACCGCGGCCGGAGCCGAGGGCCTTTTGTTGACCACCACGAGTGGTCTCGCCTGAGGCCAACGCGTCGAATGGGTCTTGATGAGCGGGTTGAAATTCCATGATTTTGCTCGCAGACTCGTCACATTTCCCTGGAGAAGCAACAAAAGCAGCGATTTTTTTTCAATTGCGATGGTAACTGAGAGAGGAAAAAGGAGAAGGCTGTTTATGGAGGAAAAAGACAAGTAATTGCCGTACCTTGAACGGGGAAGAAGGGCAGGAAATGGTTAGTGATGTTCTGATTGGAGTGATGGATACAAGAGCCGCCATTGATGAGGAAGGAGATAGAGGAGCTGCCTCTGCGCGCTAAAGTGTGCTCAGCTGAAAAGTTTAGCTTCCAACGGATATGGATAGGCTGGGAAATATATTACCCTTAAATTTACCGAATCCCCCGGTAATTATCGTAAACGCTCACAAACTTATTCACTTTGTACAAAATAGTAACAAAGTTTTAATTTTGCACGTTCAGTAAAATAAGTTTGAGTGGATAACAAAAACGTCATTCCGTCCACTTTCATCCAAAATTCTGTTATTTTTGCCCAGTCAGCATGACACATCACTAACATTATTAATAAAAACTAATTTAATCATTCTAATTAACCAGAACAACCCTAACCGGTTCACTAACTCTGTTCTCAACCAACCGTACGCTAACCTGGCCAAGAGAAACCTTATCCCTCACACTTGCCTTTCTTTCATCTCATATTGAACCCTCAAAGTCGAGCACGCCGTCGAGATTCGTGTTGGGTTTTTTAGTGGTGTGAATGGAAATGAAGGGGGAAAGTTTCAAGAGAGTCTCTTGAAGTACCATGTTGGTAAGCTGTGGGAAGGTGTGGCCTTGAATTCGATCAATTTGATATAATATGTGGTTAATCGGTTAAATTGGTTTGTGTACCAAACGGACCAAATCAAACTGAGTTGAACCAAATCGAACCGACGGTTGGAATAACCAAACCGGTCCAACTACCATGGACCAAACTGATGCAATGGTTCATTATTTTAAAACGAAACAATGTGTTGGTTCTTGGTTGGGGTGTAACCACCCATACGAAGAGTTGCCTCCCTTCGTACGCACCTCTTCATTCTCTATAAATAGCACATAATCCCCCCTGGTTTTCTATGGGATTTTTCCGGTACCAAAATTGTGCCAAAATCCAAAACTAGTTTTCTGCATTCTTTTCAAAGAGAAAATCGAGTCAAGTGTGGTCTCGTCGGTTCGCTGCATTCGATGGGTTCCGGGGTTTGAGGTACTGCTACGCCGGAAAAGGTACGTCCTTTCTATCCTGGGAGGAATCATTCCATAACCTTGGGTACTAGAGGGGAATAAGATTCTTTAAGGAGAGATAGTGAATTCTATCGGCTAGGACGCTTGCATGTGTCTTTGCATGTTTTCTTAATGGGTTAAAGACACATTTAGTCACTGAGATTTCTAAATCGGGACATGTTTAGTCACTATAAAAAGTTAATATCAAATTTGGTCACTACAATTATTAAAACATGACACATTTAGTCACTCGCCGCTAGTTGCCGTCCAACTCCGTTAAAAGAGTCCGTTATGTGCTGACGTGGCTAACATGAGCGCCTAGTCAGCGCCGTTTTGGGCCGGAAATGGTCAAACCCGACCCGCCATGTCACTAAACCCTCCACGTATTAAACCCAACCCAATTCATTAACCCAACCCGACCCAGAAATAAACCCTAACCCACCTAACCAGATCCTCTATCTTCTTTATATGGCTTTCTGTCCACAAGAAGCCTTTCAATCTTTCATTCACGCCTCACATCCCTTCGTTTCCTTCTCGTTCCGCAGTGCCCATTTATCCATTCTCTACTAATGGCGGGACGCTTATCCAGCAGTTTTGAAGACAACTGGACTGATGGCAATCCATGCATGAGGTTCTTCGGGTGCAGCAAATACGGGGTAAGTTTCCCTCACCTTCAATTCATCTGTACTTTCACCACTAGACTGTCCTTTTCCTTCACCCTTCTTTCTTTTCTGTGCGATTTGTAGACAAATGGGGCATGTAATTGCTTCAGATGGCATGACCCAGCACTTGACAAGCATATGAAATTTCTGGTGCTGAACTTTCATCGTCGGATCTGAGAGCAAGAGAATAGGAAAAATGGGAAAGGGTCCAAATCTAATGGCAAAACATTGTCCATCTTCTTTGTGTTTGCTCTTGTATTCTTTTGCATTTGGATCGAAAAGTAAGCAGCTCTTTGCTGAATCTTACCAGCTGTACTCGAAGGTTCTCTGTATTGTAGACTGTGTAACCCTAAAAAAACGCAATGTAGATGCATGTTTTGTCACTTGAAAAGCTAAAAAATGACATTTCACAGCTGCTCTGCTTGTGTCACCTAGCTTGCAATCTGTGATAGTTGGGAGGCTTGACTTGCTTGACTTGGAACCTCATAGTTTGGCCTCCGTGTACTTCCCTGCAAATTAAGATGGCGTTAGTATGTTGGATGGAATGGACTAAGATAAAAGGAACATCCACTAGACTGAAATCATACCTCTGTCATGAGTTGCACTACATGGGCCTGACTACTCGATGAAGAAGCAGTAACTTTTGTAGCTCTTTGTTGTAGCTTCTGTAATGCTGCAACTCTGTTTCTCTCGGCTCGTTCAAGTTGTTGCCTCCTCTTTGCTTCTTCCTTCTTTTTCTTCTTCTCTTGTACCTTAATTTTTCTTGCTTCATCGTGGAAGGTTTTGTTGTGCCCTAGTAGACCACATTCCGTACACTTGTACTGCTTTCTTTCAGGTTTTGCTTTGTCCCTTCCATCCTTCTTTTGTTTCTTCTCGGCTGTTTCAGCCTCCTCGAGCCCTTTTATTCTTTGTTTCTTTGACCTCCCTCTCTTTTTCGATTCTTGAGGAGGAGGAACACCAACATCTCCCAACTCGGAAACTGGCCAATAGTCCCTACTAGCAGTAGGCGAAATGGAGTAGCTATAAATCGCTGCAGCAGTCTCCTTGGTGTAGCAATCAACAACATAGTCTTGCACTTGCAGGTTTGCCGTATGAATGGCTTGAATAGCATGCTGGCAAGGAATACCAGTTAGGTCCCATTTTCTGCAAGTGAAAGTCTGATCTTTCAAACTCACAGCAACCTGCTTGTCGTTCCACCTTACTTCAAACTATCGTCTCCCATTAGACACAGCAACCCACTTCACAGCCTCTCCAGTCAACATCGACAGCTTTTTCTCAATATTTGGACAATAAGGACCAACCCACTTCTCCACATCCTCCTGTTGTTGGGCGTATAAAACCATCAGATTCCTCCGGATCCCCTCCAACATGCTGATTGGACCCAAATATCTCTCTTCTAGTATCGTATTATTCCAAATCTCAACAATATTGTTGGTGTGTATCCAGGAATTGGTGTAAGTATGATAATGTGATCTGGTCCAATGGAAGAAGGAATTTTCGACCAGCCAATCATAGGCGAGCTTGCTATACTCAGCCAATGATTGCATCACATTTCGAAACTCAGGCACTGTAGTCTCCCTAACTGCTGTCCAAAACAAGTCCTTGAGCATTTTGGAGCCTCCACAAGCCCCCTTCAGATTCGTCCACAGGTGTCTTGCACAATGGTGCTTCTCACAGTTGGGAACAACTGGTCAAGGGCTGGAATGAGAGCCTAAATACAACAAAAATGGGTTAGCATTTATAGTTTAACTAATTGCAAAAGAAAGGAAACTGAATGTGGTTTACCTTCTGCTTATTTGACATGAATAACCATCTAGGATTGTCTTCTATATTCAGATCGGCACCAAGTAGCTGAATAAATCACTCCCAATTTTCCTTGTTCTCCACTCCGACATGAGCAAACGCAATAGGATAATATTGCTCATTAGCCTCCAAACCCACTGCTGAAAGAAATTGCCCTCCAAATTCATGCTTCAAGAAGAAACCATTGATGCACAATACCTTCCTACATCCAGCCTTGAACCCTTGCTTGGATGCATGAAACACACGTACATTCGGTTAAAACATTGAGCTCTCTGCTCAATGATAACCGTTGAGTTCGGGTTTCTCCTTCTCAACTCCTCGGCATAATGATATAAGCACTTGTATTGCTCCTTCAAGCTGCCACGAACCTGCTCGATGGCTGCCTTCTTTATTCTGTAAGCCTTCTTGTCTCTCACATCTTTTTAGTAGTCTTCTTTGACTATGTTTTTTTACCAAGGCCTTACTCATGGTCAGATCAGCAGCCACCTTTCTAGCTAGTTTGGCCCCTAGAAACTTTGTCGTTGCAAACTTGACTTTGTAAGTCTTTCGACAATCAGATGTGTGCACCACCTTGCAGTTCTTAATTCGGAAAAAATCTTCTAAACTCATCTTCGAATCCCAAATGTACCAATCGCATGGTGATTCACACACTGCTTGCAGACGGATCTTGTCATGCTTATTGAATTTAATTAGCCTCTTCTCTATGAAAGCATGCCACTTTATTGCTTCTTTCAAAACTGCAAAGCTGCTGAATTTTTGGGAAGCAACAATAGTAGGTGCCTCCATGTCTCGATCAACCCGAAACTCCTCACCTTGGTACTCATCATCCGAATCTGAACTTACTATACTCCTGCGATCATCAGAGTCCACATACTCAACTTCTTCTTCAACTACTTCAGGCTGTCCATTTCCACTTTTAAAGCCACCCATGTCAGCTTCTGCATCTTGATTTACATATTTTTCAAAGTGATCATTGTCACCATCACTAAGATCTTCTTCAAAACATACATAATCACTGTCTTCGTCCTCATCATAGTCCCTATTCACTTCACACTCAACTTCAGCGCCCTTTCTCACTTCCTCCAACCCAGTCTCCATGAAATCTACAATATCATTGTTGGAGATAACATACAGTTCAATAATTCTTTCACCTCCATTAGCTACAGTTGATATGCCTAGAATATCTTCGTCATTAGTCATCTCTGTCATTGAACTATTGTAAGGAGATTTCCAAAAGAATTTTGGATCCTTAACCCTCCCACCACATGCCTGGTATATTTCAGGTAAATCCAACATTGATAGCTCATCAATGTCCGCATAGTCCCAAAATACAGTTTCCTTCTCATTGAGGAAATGCTTGTCACTCTTCTTCTTTAATTCAAGTGACACACGCACTGCAAAAGTGAATTCCCCACTGCAATCACCTGTTAAGAAGAAAAAACAGCAAAATGTAAGTATGTGGTCACAATAAAGGCCACTTGTAATAAAAGAAACAAAAGTGTTTGGTTATCCCCACAAGAATCTGCATTTTTCTATTCCAA